ACCAACTCTATATGTTCAGTGGGTGTGTCCCTGGCCTTGATCCTTGCCCCTGTAAAGCCAGGCAGGTAAAAACTGGATACACCCCGTACATTCTCCATCTCCATAATGTAATATGAAGACTCATGAACTAAGCACTAAACACATTAATAATGGCTGTGCCAGAAATATGTAGCTTAAATGTAGGTACAGAGACCTGAAAGGGTCCCAAAGTAAAGCAATATGCCCTTGGATTAGAAACAAACTAATCACCACTAAATGTTAACAGTCAGTTTTAGATGGACTGACAAAATCATAATAATACAAGTTCTTTGATACTAATCTTTAATTTGTTTATAGGAAACTAGGGAAGATGTGATGTTCTAAATTTGAATTTTTTAATCTTTACTATATATATATATCCCAATATATATATATATATATATATATATATATATATCCTTGAACAAATCATCCCTTCTATGGGTACTTGAACCAAATGTATGTCAATATGTATATGGACTAATGCAGGCCATAGATGGGTCGAAAAATCGGTAACAGTAATCACCGGCAAGATTCAAATTCCTGTAGGGCGAACAGAATTTACCCTGATTGCAGATGAGTCACATTCCTTTGGTGAAAGGACTGCAATACATCTTGAAAGGCCTGGGTCAGGTTTCCTACAGTGGATTCATATGCACTCGCTTCTCCTCATATTGTATTTAATGTCTGTCTATTTAAGTACCTAAAATTAAAGGTCTATATATTTCTGTAATTTTGTATTATTTAACTGTGGAATTGACAAATGGAATTTTTTCTGGACTATAATATAATTGAAAATATTTAACAGAAAACTACATTACTTTCAATCGTAAGGCAAACATGACACATTTTATATATTTGAGAATTTTATTACAGAAGAAAAGGTGCAACTAACAATTAGTTAATGGCATTAATCAGCTAGGCACACCGACATTTAAAAGACAAAGTATAGCACTAAGTTTTTTTTCCATTCAACCCAATGGGCTGAATGAAAAAAAGCTGATAGATCGCTGTACTAACACAAGTTATGTTAATACAGCGTTCTCCCGTGCTGTGCTATTGTGTTCTGCGGGGATGTGTGGGGGGGACTCCCCCCAACCAGAAAACATCGGTCAGCTCTTGCATCCATTGGCTGCGAGCGCTGATTGGAATTTGCTATGCTGCTAGTTTTCCAGCATGTCCGTTCGATAGGGAGCTGTGCACACGGGTTGAAAGTCAGCTGGTTTCAACTTTACTGGCAGGTTTCGACTGACATTCGACCCGTGTTTACCCGGCTTTACACCGTGGTAAAAATAAGGTCTAAAACAACAGCCAATCCCTTAGAACAAAGATATCCTAACCATCATATAAGGTGAAATTGCAAAAATTGCATTATTCATAAATTAAAAGATCTAAGTTACATAAACAGGACATTCATGTATTTTAACCCCCAATGGCACACAAAACATGTTAAAATCTCTTCAAAACAACCATGCAATTCAATAATTATATGTAGCACTGCCCCTCGGGACAAGCTGGAATATATTATGGGTCCTGCGCTCAATAGATCCAACCCTAAGCAAACCCAATCCCTCTGGCACAACTGGTAATGAATAGCAAATACCCCGCCAAGAAATTTGCTGACACAGGGTTAAATGAAACAAGAACAATTTTATGGAGAATAAAATGCAGTGTAGAGGGGTGGGGTTCCCCTTTCAACTTCAAAACTTACTTTTTTTTGGTCTGCCACTAGAGGGCTTCACAGCCAAGAGTCTCCGGATGGCAGAGTCGCACTTTAAGCAGAATACAACTGATATCAAACAAATAAACTTACTTATGCTCTATCAATGAAATGTATTACCCACACCGGTGTATGATTCTGCTTCTGAGGGGCGTTAGCCAAAAATCACCTCAGAATCAGAACAGAATGCAATAAAGAGGTACCTCTAATAAAGCTACTAAGCCAGATTCCCCCACTTCAGTCCTTGTAATGGTGGAGCTCTAGTTGGTGCATGTTTAGTCCTTACAATGAAGTAAATAGCAGCTGAAGGCTTCTTTGGAGTTTCAGCTGGTGTGGGTTACATCAGATTTCACTAGGTTTCTGGGCTGAGAGGGTCGGGTTCCAACCTCAGTGTCTAAACGCAACACAAAGCACCCCAAGACCAGGGGCAGTCGCAGGATGCAATCTCCCAGTATGTGTCAGTCCCCGGGGCAGACAGTCTCAATTACACTGGTGGTGAGGGGCAAAGCAGGCAGAGGGATCTGTGGCTTGCACAGGGCCCTGAATGGGTGAGATCCCAGCAGTGGGGTGTGGATGTCCCAGTCTATATGCAAAGTGTAAATGGTGTGTCTTACTTTCTCCAGGGGGACAGCTCACCAGACTCTGAACACACAGCAGGGTCCCTCTATCCGCGCTGGGTGCTGTAGTGCCTCCTCCTCTGCTTGGACGGGCTCCACATGTCCCTGTCTTTTCTCCAGCCTCGTGTCTCTCCCCTCTCCCCTTCACTTCCTGCTTCCTCCCCCCCCCCCCCAGCGTTCTTTGCTGTGTAGTGGATGAGTCATGAACTTGGCAGAATGCCCAGGTTTTACAAAATAGGAGAGAGAGAGAAAGGACTGACTGCTGATCATGTGATTCCTTCTGAATCCTCTTGTACAAGGAGCCTGCTACATATATAAATGTGATGCTTGTGAGCTACTATGGTATATTTCAAAATAAATAATTAATGTACTAATATTAAAAATAAAATCCAACAATAAAAATTAAATACAGTGAAGGAAATAAGTATTTGATCCCCTGCTGATTTTGAATGTTTGCCCACTCACAAAGAAATGATCAGTCTAAAAATCAAATGGTAGGTGTATTGTAACAGATTGAGACAGAATAGCAACAAAAAATTCTAAAGAAATGCATGTCTAACAAATTATGCACTGATTTGCATGTTCATGAGGAAAATAAGTATTTGATCCCCTATCATTCAGCAGGATTTCTGGCTACCGGGTGTCTTTCATACAGGTAACAGGCTGAGATTTGAATCAGTCTCTTAAAGGGAGTGCTGCTAATCTCATTTTGTTACCTGTATAAAAGACACCTGTTCACAGGAGCAATCAAACAATCAGATTCCAAACTCTCCACTATGGCAAAGACCAAAGAGCTGTCCAAGGATGTCAGGGACAAGATTGTAGACCTACACATGGCTGGACTGGGCTACCAAACTATCGCCAAGCAGCTTAGTGAGAAGGTGACAACAGTTAGTGCAATCATTCGCAATGGAAGAAAACACAAAACAACTGTCAGTCTCCCTAGGTCTGTTGCACCATGCAAGATCTCACCTCGTGGAGTGTCAATGATCATGAGAACAGTGAAGAATCATCCCAGAACTAAACGTGAGGATCATGTCAATGATCTCCAGGCAGCTGGGACCACAGTCACTGTCAGGGCTCCCAGGTGTGACCAGAGGTGTGTGACTGACGCAGGGAAACGCAGACTTCAGATATGTGATAAACAATATAATTTATTAACACTAACCATACAAACATAAATGCAGTGCAATACTAAAACATAATACAGTGCAAACAAACCAAACCAACCACCCACAGATAACAGTTACATACAAACAAGCGTCGTCAGGCAGGCCGGGTCAATATCAATAGGGAAGGTAGGTACAGGGGGAGCAAGCGGAGATGGGTCGGGGTAACAGGCCAGGTTCAGCAGGTAGCTAGCAGCGTAGTACAGAGGGTCAGGCAGAGGGATGGTCAGGGTCACAAGCCAGGGATCAGAACAGGTAGCAAGCAGCGTGGTACAGAGGGTCAGGCAGAGGGATGGTCAGGAGCGAGCCGGGATCAGAGCAGGAGAAGTCAGCAGCGGTTCAGATCAGGCAGAGTCAGCAAAGGAACAGAAACAGGATGCAGGACAGATACAGGGCCCAGGACAAACACAACACCAAGGCAGAGTCTGCAAGTCTGGCCATCCCTTAAATACACCAGTATCATCAGTTCCAGGTGTTAGCTGGCTGAAAGGTTGAGTCTCTGATTGCTGGGAGCACCCGCTGGCCAGCCCTGGTACTGCAGATCAAAAGGCAGGTGAGTCCCACCATTGCTGGCCAGTCCATTCCTGACAGTACCCCCCCCAAGGAGCAGCCTCAGGACGCTCCAAACAGTCCTAGCTGGGCAAAATGTTCCACCGCCCGGGTCTGGTAACTGGCGGGATATCAAAGACTCCGGGCAGCGGCACACCGGGCTGGACTCCGGGCAGCGGCACACCGGGCTGGACTCCGGGCAGAGGCACATCGGGCTGGACTCCGGGCAGAGGCACATCGGGCAGAGGCATACCGGGCAGAGGCACATCGGGCAGAGGCACACCGGGCAGAGGCCCATCGGGCTAAACTCCGGGCAGAGGCACATCGGGCTGGACTCCGGGCAGAGGCACATCGGGCAGGACTCCGGGCAGAGGCACATCGGGCAGGACTCCGGGCAGAGGCACATCGGATTACCAGGCGAAGCAGCAGGCAGCGGGCCACCAGGCGGAGCAGCGGGCACCGGGCCCCCGGGCAGAGCAGCAGGCAGCGGGCCCCCGGGCGGAGCAGCAGGCACCGGACCCCGGGCGGAGCAGCGGGAGCGGGCCCCCGGGCGGAGCAGCGGGCCCCCAGGCGGAGCAGCAGGCAGTGGGCCACCGGGCGGAGCACCGGGCCCCCGGGCAGAGCAGCAGGCACCGGGCCCCCGGGCGGAGCAGCAGGCACCGGGCCCCCGGGCGGGAGCAGCAGGCAGCGGGCCCCCGGGCGGAGCAGCAGGCACCGGGCCCCCGGGAGGAGCAGCAGGCAGCGGGCCCCCGGGCGGAGCAGCAGGCAGCGGGCCCCCAGGCGGGAGCAGCAGGCAGCGGGCCCCCAGGCGGGGCGACAGGCATCGGGCCCCCAGGCGGGGCGGCGGGTGCCGGACCCCCAGGCGGGGCAACAGGCATCGGGCCCCCAGGCGGAGCGGCGGGCGCCGGACCCGCAGATGGAGCGACAGGTCTCGGGCCCTCAGGCGGAGCGGCGGGCGCCGGACCCCCAGGCGGAGCGACAGGTCTCGGGCCCTCAGGCGGAGCGGCGGGCGCCGGACCCCCAGGTGGAGCGACAGGTCTCGGGCCCTCAGGCGGAGCGGCGGGCGCCGGACCCCCAGGTGGAGCGACAGGTCTCGGGCCCTCAGGCGGAGCGGCGGGCGCCGGACCCCCAGGCGGAGCGACAGGTCTCGGGGCCCCCAGGCGGGGCGGTCTCAGGCCCCCAGGCGCGGCAGGCGCCGGACCCCCAGGCGGAGCGACAGGTCTCGGGCCCCCAGGTGAAGCGGCGGGCACCGAGTCACCAGGCACGACAGTGGGCTCCGAGTCAACTGGCATGACCGCTGGCACTGGGTCAGACATTGGATCGTCTGGCTGGACAGCGGGCATCGGGTCACCAGGCATCAGGTCATTTGGCTCGACAGTGGGCACCGCGTCATCTGGCAAGGCAGTGGGCTCCGAGTCAACTGGTATGACCGCGGGCACTGGGTCAGACATTGGATCGTCTGACTGGACAGCGGGCATCGGGTCACCAGGCATCAAGTCATTTGGCTCGACAGCGAGCACCGCGTCATCTGGCAAGGCAGTGGGCTCCGAGTCAACTGGCATGACCGCGGGCACTGGGGCAGACATTGAATCGTCTGGCCGGGACAGCGGGCATCGGGTCACCAGGCATCAGGTCATTTGGCTCGACAGCGGGCACCGCGTCATCTGGCAAGGCAGTGGGCTCCGAGTCAACAGGCACGACAGTGGGCACCGGGTCATCAGGTACCGGATTGTCTGGCTTGACAGCGGGCACCGGGTCACCAGGCATTGGATCGTCTGGCTCGACAGCGGGCATCGGGTCACCAGGTATGACCACTTCTGGTCAGGATTGGCCTTGGTGTAATGTCAGGGCTCCCAGGTGTGACCAGAGGTGTGTGACTGACGCAGGGAAACGCAGACTTCAGATATGTGATAAACAATATAATTTATTAACACTAACCATACAAACATTAACGCAGTGCAATACTAAAACATAATACAGTGCAAACAAACCAAACCAACCACCCACAGATAACAGTACATACAAACAAGCGTCGTCTGGCAGGCCGGGTCAATATCAATAGGGCAGGTAGGTACAGGGGGAGCAAGCGGAGATGGGTCGGGGGTAACAGGCCAGGTTCAGCAGGTAGCTAGCAGCGTAGTACAGAGGGTCAGGCAGAGGGATGGTCAGGGTCACAAGCCAGGGATCAGAACAGGTAGCAAGCAGCGTGGTACAGAGGGTCAGGCAGAGGGATGGTCAGGAGCGAGCCGGGATCAGAGCAGGAGAAGTCAGCAGCAGTTCAGATCAGGCAGAGTCAGCAAAGGAACAGAAACAGGATGCAGGACAGATACAGGGCCCAGGACAAACACAACACCAAGGCAGAGTCTGCAAGTCTGGCCATCCCTTAAATACACCAGTATCATCAGTTCCAGGTGTTAGCTGGCTGAAAGGTTGAGTCTCTGATTGCTGGGAGCACCTGCTGGCCAGCCCTGGTACTGCAGATCAAAAGGCAGGTGAGTCCCACCATTGCTGGCCAGTCCATTCCTGACAGTCACCAAGAAAACAATTGGTAACACACTAATCCGACAAGGATTGAAATCCTGCAGTGCCCGCAAGGTCCCTCTGCTTAAAACACATGTCCAGGCCCGTCTGAAGTTTGCCACTGAACATCTGAATGATGCAGAGGACGACTGGTTGAAAGTGTTGTGGTCAGATGAGACCAAAATCAAGCTCTTTGGCATCAACTAAACTCACCGTTTTTGGAGAGGAGGAATGACCCCAAGAACACCATCCCAACTGTCAAACATGGTGGTGGAAACATTCTGCTTTGTGGGTGTTTTCTGCTAAGGGGACAGGACAACTGCACCACATCAAAGGGACGATGGACGGGGCAATGTACCTTAAAATCTTGGGTGAGAACTTTCTTCCCTCAGCCAGGGCATTGAAAATGGGTCGTTGATGGGTGTTCCAGCATGACAATGACCCAAAACACACAGCCAAGGCAACAGAGGAGTAGCCCAAGAAGAAGCACATTAAGGTCCTGGAATGGCCTAGCCTGTCTCCAGACCTTAATCTGATTGAAAATCTGTAGAGGGAGCTGAATGTTTGAGTTGCCAAACGTCAGCCACCAAACCTTAATGACTTGGAGAGGATCTGCCAAGAGGAATGGGCCAAAATACCTCCTGAGATGTGAGATGTGTACAAACCTGGTGGCCAACTACAGGAAACGTCTGACCTCTGTGATTGCCAACAAGGGATTTGCCACCACGTTTTAAGTCATATTTTGTGAAGGGGATCAAATACTTATTTCCCTCATGAACATGAAAATCAGTGCATAATTTGTTAGACATGCATTTCTTTAGAATTTTTTGTTGCTATTCTGTCTCTCAGTGTTACAATACACCTACCATTCGATTTTTAGACTGATCATTTCTTTGTGAGTGGGCAAACATTCAAAATCAGCAGGGGATCAAATACTTATTTCCTTCACTGTATGTGGGTCGCTTACGCCATATACATACCCATACTAGTGTGTAACTAAAGTCAAATAATATATAAAATCATGTCGCGCTCCACTAATATCCATTGATAATCATTTAATTATTATATTAAATATGTGTGTTAACTGGTTCCCGCCCGGCCTATGGCAGAATGGTGGCCAGCAAAAACTCTCACCGCTCCGGGTGGATGCCATATGGTGTCCTTTCGGGCATGAGCAGTTTGCATGCCCGCAGAGCTACGCAGCGGCGCGATCTGTCACCGGCCCTGTACCTCTGACAGGGCCGATGACAGATCTGAGTACCGACCCCCGTTGCCAGTACCATGTGACCTGCTGTGACCAATCACAGCAGGTCACATGACAGTTGTATACAATGGATGGCTTCCTATCATGCCATCCATTGTATACAAGTGTGGCTAGCTGTGAATGGTCACAGCGATCACATGCACAAGCTGGGCCAATCACAGCCCAGCTGTGTCATGTGACTAGCTGTGGCCAAATCACAGTTAAGAGAAAAAAAAGAAATCCTGAATGGATTTCATTCAGGTAAATGCTTGTTTATAATTCTTTGCTATAAGCAAATTGTGTAAAAAAAAAAAAAAAAAAAAAAATAGATCTCTTCCCCAAAGTAGTGACACTATGGTAACATTGTACTACTTTGGTCATAGTGAAATATGAAAAAAAATCTTAAAAAAAGAGAACAAAATGTAATAAAAAATAATAAAAACATTTAAAAAATTAAGAAAAAATTATCAATTTTTTTTTCATACTGTCACCAGTCAGTGCCCCTGATCACCGCCATGCCAGTTATATGATGACACTGTACTGCACTGGTAACAGTATATAAAAAAAAATAGTGAAAATCATTTTTTTATTCATTTCCAAAAAATTAAGGGAAAAAAATTACAACTTCAAAAAAACTCGCCATGCCTGTTATGAAATACGTCGGACTGTCTACTTTGCAAAAAGGGGTCATTTGGGGGATATCTGTACTGTCCTGACATTCTTGGACCTCAAGAAATTAGATTGGCTGTCAGTACTTCAGGATCGATCAGTTTTCAGATATATACCATAGTTTGTGAACTCTATAACTTTCCTACAGAATAAATAATACATCCTAATTTGGGTTATTTTCACCAAAGACATGTAGTAGAATACATTTTGGCCTAAATTTATGAAGAACAATTATTTATTTGCAAACGTCTATAACAGAAACAAAGAAAACGTGTTTATTTTTCAAAATTTTTGGTCTTTTTTTGTTATTTTAGCAAAAAATAAAAACCCCAGTGGTGATTAAATACCACCAAAAGAAAGCTCTAGTTGTGTGAAGAAAATAATAACATTTTAGTTTGGGTACAATGTTGTATGACCACGCAATTGTCATTCAAAGTGTGAGAGCGCTGAAACCTGAAAATGGGCCTGGGCAGGAAGGGGGTAAAAGTGCCCGGTATGGAAGTGGTTAATACCCTGTGTGAACAAATCTCTTAAACAGTATCCATATATATCATACGTGATACTACGATAAACATGTGCTTATTTCCACATAACCGTGAAACATTATTACATGTGCAAACTTAAAGCAACAAAAATATATATATATATTATATTAAAACTTCCTTCCAAACAAAATATAAATACATTTCTAAAGTCCACTCTGTGATACGTTCTCATTAAGTGCTCCTTCACCTGTGTGCACTTACCTTATTTTTTGACCAAACCGTTAAGTGAGGTCAAAAACAGCTTGTGTAACTTTAATTAGACTTGTAGGTGATTTTAGGGCTGTATCCTTGTTCCAGATGGATGGATGAGTGTAGTGATATGCTTTTTTTCCAGCAGGGGGACTTGATGTTATCCAAATACCTGTTTTCCTGGATTTAGGTGGATGGGTGGATGGATGGATTTCTCCCTCTCAGTTTGTGTCCCTTTAAATGGACTTGTAGGTTATTTTAGGGTTGTATCCTTGTCTCAGATGGATGGATGAGTGTAGTTGTCCCAGTATAGGGGCTGCCAGGGTGCCCCAAATTAGCTTGGTCCTCCCTGTCATTCATGTATTTCAGTCCCAAAACTTCAATAAGTAATTTCCTCCCCGTCCATTGTGTATTTCAGTCCCGAAACTTCGTTAAGTAATTTACTCCCTGTCATTTGTGTATTTCAGTGGGAGCTGTGTTGAGGCCAGACTCCACAGCCAAAGTTCCGTTGAGTCCCTGTGAGTCTGATGTCGTCCCTAGTACGCTGTGTGGGAGCTGTGTTGAGGTCAGATTCCACAGCCAAAGTCCCGTTGAGTCACCGTGAGCCTGATGTCGTCCCTAGTACGCTGTGTGGGAGCTGTGCTGAGGCCAGACTCCACAGCCAAGGTCCCGTTGAGTCCCCATGAGCCTGATGTTGTCCCTAGTAAGCTGTGTGGGGGTTGTGCTGAGGTCAAACCCCATCGCCAAGGTCCCGTTGAGTCCCCGTGAACCCGCTTACCGTGGGTGTCCCTACAAGCCGCATGTCACGGAGTGCCATGAACTGACCTGATTGAGTGTCTTTCATAGTTCAATAAAGCTTTGTGTGTTCTGTCCTGCCTACGCTTCCGTTACAGTAGTGATACCCTTTTTTCCAGCAGGGGGTCTTGATGTTATCCAAAGACCTGTTTTCCTGGATTTAGGTGGATGGATGGATTTCTCCCTCTCCTCCAGGGGGTCTTTCCACTCCTTACTGATCCTCTCCTTATCTCTCCATATATGTTAGTACCATGTAATCAAAGATATAGTGCCTTATCGCCTTTTAAAATTATTTATTTAGGCTTCAAAATTATTGCACTCACATTGAAAAACATAAAAAATTGCTTTGTTATATAGAATATGCTGTCCTCTGTGTGATCTCCATACTTCCTATACTCGCCGTGTAATATACCTTTAAGCGCCGTGACATCAGAGGGGTATCACTACACTCATCCATCCATGCATCTGGGACAAGGATACAGCTCTAAAATCACCTACAAGTCCATTTAAAGGGACACAAGCTGTTTTTGACCTCACTTAACGGTTTG